TTATAGTTGATGGGAAAAAAAGAGAAACTTTTTTTGCGGTGAAGCAATTTTAAATATTGATTTCAAGAATCACAATGTATTTGATATTAGGCAGGAAACAAATTTTTTTTCCCTCCAATATGCATTTTTAAGTGATTTAGAAATTATCAAAAATAATTGCAACAACTTTAACAAATATATCATTTGGTTTAAATATTTGGCTATTTAAAATCGATCGAAAATATGCGGGTATGTATTAAGTGAATAACAAATAGAAAATAACAGATTGTTTATTATTGGACAATTAATATAACGAGTACATTGAATAGCAAATATCGATTAGTTATATTTTCAAAAAATTTTCTTTTAAGCCTTTTAATCTTTTACTAAAAGCTTTACGTTATGATAATTAAGAAATCATCGCTTCCTTCTAATATGAACCATAAACTATTTTTACTGAAACATGTTTATTCACATACCATTTATTTTTACTCATATACTATTATTCACATACTATTTACATTTACAAGAAAGAGAGAGAGAGAGAGAGAGAGAGAGAGAGAGAGAGAGAGAGAGAGAGAGAGAGAGAGAGAGAGACATGCATTATTACTATTCCACGAAAAGATAGCAATGCTTTTTTGGATGGTTAGATTTTATCGTGTAAAAAAGTGCAAAGAAATCATTGTTTTCCACTAAAAAGTAATGATTTTTCTTTAGTAAAAGAATTGGATTATAAAATGTGTTCCATTTCAGTAATTTTTACTTCCATTCTTTCATCCATCCGTAACTTTCAATTTCCATTCAAGTTTATAAAATGATTTTTTTTTTTTTTGCAAAATAAATCCTTCTTATTTCAGTCCGAATTAGGAATAGCACACACACACACAAACACACACAAACACACACACACACACACACACACACACACGCAGACGCACACGCACGCATACACACAAGCAAGCTAATTAATTTTGTTTTTTTGCCTTGAAATTTTAATCTCTATTTTTAGAGACTTCGAAAATAGCAATTGCTATCAGTTTTGATATTTTAAAATTAATAGCAACCGTTTTCCTTACTAACGATTTTTTAACTTTTCAATCTTTTTAATTTTATAAAATTAATTTAACAAAATTATCGGGGTTAAAATTTATATTTAATTTTAACTTATCATATATTTAAATCAAAAATTTTCTCCATTAATAAAGTACTATTATTGTAACAAAAATTGCGCTATTCTCCATTACTTATTCCGAAATGACTCATTTAATGATTTAAAAAATTGAACAAAATGAGAATTTTATGAGAATTTTAAAATTACACAGCTATTAAACATAAAGCAGACAGACCTCATAAAGCTGTTTGAGTAGGCTAACTGAATGTTCCTCCAACCTTTTTCTTTTCATCAAACAAAAGTTAAGCTTCTTCTAGTTAGAAGAATTCATGAAAAATTTGCTTGATGTTTGTAGTCGAAGCCTTAATTGTCTGAATCTTCTTTTTATCTTATTTCAAATAATGATTCCTATTTTCTATTGTTTTACTGATTAAATCAAAATCTGAAAAATTCGAACAAACATTTTTTGATCAGCTTTTTTTACTGGAATTGGAATATGTTTCAAATGTGCTGAATATGTTGAATAATAGATTAAATAAGTTAAGTAAAAATTCAGCTAATTCTAGAAATAAAATTAGCAAAGCCTTAACTAAGATAAAATCAATAGAAGCTAATAGTAATTTTTTCTTCTTAATAACATTAATTTCTAAATTTATCCTAACTAAAATTTAAGATTGATTTTAAAAAATATCTTTTGAAATCAGTAATAATTTCAAAAATATTACTCTCAAGATTTTAGTAAAGGATATATGTAACAGTTTCTCTAAAAATTATCAATTTTTATGAGCGAATACGTCATTGCTTTGCATCAAAAATGATGCAAAGCAAAGATCATTTGAAATGTAATTTTAAGAATGAAATGAATTAATTTTGTCAAAGAGCAATAAATCCTCCATTTTAAATCGATTAAAACAGTGCCAATGTAGCAATCATTTAATAATCTTAAAGTTGAACTTTTTTTTAATAATGAATAATTTTTGTAAATCAAAATTGTATTATAAATTTTCATGCTTCCAGAAGGAATTAAATTAGGAAAAATTTTAATGTTACAGATTGTTCCATTGGAATCACGTTACGAACGTGGTCGTTGGGCATGTTGGGATTTCTACAACACTGAACCTCCGAAACAACATCGTGAACGTCATTCCTCACCGTTACCGCTATTCAGTAGCTCGAGTAATTGTAAATTTTTTAATTAATTAAATGGAAAACTATTTAAGGCTTTACTAGGTAAAAATTTTAATAATATATAATTTTTATAAGAGTTGTTAAATGATAGTATTTAATAACTTTAGTTTTTGTTCAGTCTTTGGTCTATTTTTTTTCATTTGAATTTGCAAACAGTTATGCTATCAATTCCTCTTCTACTATTTCATTTCCATAAGTACTGTTACAATTTGTAATTTGCAGTCAAGAGAAGTAATTCTAGTTTGCAAGCTTTTCATATCAAAAAATTCTCTAGCAATTAAAATTTAGATTATTTATGCTTTTTTATTTGAAAATTATTTTTCCGCAAACTTTCTTCCCTTATCAAAAAAATCCAGTTTATTCTAATTAAAAAAAAGTTTTACAAATATATGACGAAAAAAAATTTATTTACCAATCCTTTATAATAATTCATTTGTTTTAAAATAAACTCAAGTGCTTTACGGAAATATTTGAAAATTTGTTAATTTGTTTAAATAAAAAATGAAATAACATCTCTATTTCACATAGAATCATTTAAAACTCCCCTTTTATTTGTTTAAACAAACTATTGACAACCCTAAAAAAATCATTTGTGCTCAAATTCAAAACAAAAACACCAAATTTTGCTAAATAGCAAATATACTTACTTTATGCTTTTAAAAATTTTTATTGTAAATTAAACTCTTTGTTCTTGCTATTTCATTAAATTAAAAAATACAAACACGAAATTTTCAATTTAATAAAATTAAGATATAGTTTTTTTTTTTAAGACGATCGTATCGTTGTTCGGTTTAGCATGCTAAAAAGAAAATTATGGTTCTAGAAATCTTGAGGAAATAATTTGCAATGTTTTTTACATAAGTCTTTCTTTCAAAATGTTTTTGAAATTTGAATTAAAAATTCAAAGGATTTGGATGGGGAAAAGTTAAAGTTTATTTCGTGTTTTTCTTAAATAAAACCTCAATTTTTGAAGTAATAAACAAAAAAAGATAAATAGTTTTCTTTTTCTTTCTCTTCTCATAAAATTTTAATATATTTTTCAACGATTTCACGCGACAAAGTGGCTAAAATTGGAAAAGGAATTTTGTTAATTATAAAATCAATACCTGTGAACATACTTTATGATACTTTTCTGTTTTGCTTAGCTTGCAGATTTGCATTCCATTTCATGGCTATTTGCACATAACATATTTTAGTAATTTAGTAAAAACTTGTGATAAAATAGTGTTATGCACAAGATTGTAAATTGAATTTGGTGAGGAATTCAAAAGAGTGTCACTAATACCATTATTTTGTGAAATTTTGAGCTTCAAACAAAATTTTTAGTATATGAAATTTTTCTTGAAATATATTAAATTTTAATTTTTAGAGAAATATAAAAAATATCGAAATTTTGAGTTTGAAAAAATGTTTTGAAAATTTTAATAAGTATTGATGAAATTGATCAAAAATCGTTTTTTCCTCTTTTTTTCTTTTAGCAATCATAGTTATATTAAATTTTAGCATGTGAAATCATTAAAAGCTAATTCTTCTTGTAATTTCAGGTTTATCCACAAAATCATTCATAAATACCCGTAAATTATCGATGTTTTCACCGGTCGATAATGTACCTCATACTGCTCCACCAAATGATCAACAATCTACCACCTTCTCGTTTGATTTCTCTAATGATTCCGATACTGATAATCATCTTACAACAAAAGCGGTTTGGTTTTACAATTTCATACTACCATTATTACTATTACACTTAATAAGATAACGCAAAATAAAATACTGATTTTTTCTTTCTTGGCTAATATCATTTGCTGCATGTAATTTATATTAATTTGTTTAAATAGAATCAAAAATGATAATTAATCATCGATTTCCAGTCCGAAAAGTTAACTAAATGTTTGAACTATTCACAATATAAAAATTGATCCAAACGATCTATGGAAAAAAAAAATCTAAGCGATCTATAAAAAATGATTTATATAAATGATCTAACCAATCTATGAAAAAATGACCTGTAAAAATGATTTCAAATAAGAACAAAAATATCAGATTTTTTTTTTATTAGCTGAAATAAAATAATAGGCATAATAATGGTATGGTTGCTTCCCTAAAATATGTACATATTTTGCTGAATTTCATCTAAATTTCAATTTATTCATATAAGCAATTAGTAATTCATCAAAAATAATGAATTATTTTTCGTTTCCATAAAATTTATCAAAAAAAAAAACAACAGAAGAAAATAAAAATCTATCAAGGTCTTGCTCCACCAATTGATATCATCATTGCGCTAATTGCTTTACATGAATCAAACGGGAAAAAAGCATATCAGCTTCTTCAAGAATAGCTAATATCTTAGTTTTTTTTTTTTTTAATTTGCAGTTTTTCTTTTTTTAAGAGATCATTCTATCAATGATTACACCTTGAAAACCTGTAATAGAAAACTTTTTTACACTTCGCTCTCTTTTTTCCCATTATATTTTTTGCTGATAAATGAAAAGAAAAACCATTTTATTCATATTTGCATATTAATTTGTTTAACTGAAGAATATAATTTTGTTTATTCATATTATTTCAAATCGAACGCAATTCTCATTACTCATAAAATTTGATAAATATGAAGCTATAAATCATTTGTTGCAGTCATTTCTTCTTTTTTTGCCAAATAAACGTTAATAGCACAAATTGCTTGTTAAGTGCTCGGACAAAAGCCACTTTAGCTATTTCGTTTTAGTAAATCGCTGGCTTAAGTTTTTTTGGATTTTAAAATAAAACTCGAATATTTTCATGATATTTCTTGAATGATCTCTGTTAAATAACCCATGCATTTATGAATTTCAACAAGATTTGTAAAGATTTTGTAAATTTTAACTAAAATTTAGAGATAGAATAGTTTTTTTTAGCAACAATGCAAGTTTAGAAATTTGAAATTTTTCAACAT